AAAACTCGATCAGATTAGATCAGTTGAGAGCAGAGCAGGGCAACAGAAATTAGGGTTACGTAGGGCCAAGCCAACTGTCGCCAAGCCCTGCTCAACCGCTAGTTGTAAAACATTTAGCATAATCCCATAAATTACGCAAATGTTGACCCGACACAAGAACCTGCTAACCCCAGCCGCAGCCTCAGCCTCGGTTCACGATCCCCAACATTTGCATAGCAGTAGCTGTAGGAATAGCTGTATCTGCGAATCAAGATTGACGGTGCGCATTAGCATATTCATTTGCCAGATGCTTTTGTTCGCGACCCAACAGATATTGTGGCCTCTGCTCTCTGTCAACGCCAAAGGGCGAAAGTGTAAGCAGAGTCAATGAACTGTTCTGATTCGCACTGCGATCGCCATTTGCAATTAAAAAATACGATTACAGATGCAGCATGGATCAGTGAAGATCAATGTGAAAATGAATTAAGGTAGAAAGGGTTTAGCTGATAGAATGTTTAGGGCATGTGGAAACTCAAAGGGCAAGATTGTGCAGATGGTGGAAGGGAAAGCAGAATAAGCTTTGGGAATTTTTAACCTAGCCACGATCATTAGCTTTAAAGGAAAGTAGAGTGTGGAAGGGAATGAACAAATTAATTTGGAAATATTTCTCTTTGCCATGATGAAGGGAGTGGTAGAGTGATAGTTGTTTAAAAATGGAATGGATAATGGCGCTTAGGAATGTTTACTCCGACCACGATCAGCTACGATCATTAGCCTAAAGGGCATGATAAAGTTAGAAGGAAGCTCAAAAGGAATCGTAGATGAATAGTTGGTGAGAAATGTAAGGGAATATAGAGCTTAGATATGATCACTTCACGATCAGCTACGATCATAAGCTTAATGAATATTATGTAGGAATTGTAGATCAATAGATATAGAGCTTAGATATGATCAGTTCACGATCAGCTACGATCATGAGCCTAATGAGTATGATCATGAATATCGTAGATCATTAGATATAGAGCTTAGATATGATCAGCTAGGAATCAGCTAGGAATCAGTAGGAAATCACACTGACTGTGGCGACTCTGGATCGATGGCGACTACGATCAGCTGCAGAGCCTCGCTGATCTCGAACCGTGGGTAGCTCCTCAGCTTTGCTCCATGAATAACTTGAGTAATTGTTGAAGGAAAAAAAAAAAATGAATTTATTGAGGCGCACTTGGGCGGCCATTGCGTTTGCTCGTTACAGGGATTCGGTCAGGTGCGTGAGGATTCGTATGGTGGAGCCTAGACAACGACGGGTCTCAGGCTGCGACCGCGACCGCGACGACGGCGCAGCAGCATCTGCAGACGGCGACGGGACATGCGCTGGCGACGGCGCTGGCGCTGCGCCTGTAGACGGCGACGTTGCTCTAGACTGTTGCGGCGGCGGCGCTGGCGCTGGCTCCTGGTCTTGTTCCTGTTGCGACGTTGGCGCTTGGCGGCGCGACGGCGATTCTGCTGCTGGATGCGGCGCACGCGCTGGCTGTGGCGGCGCTGCGAGAGACGCTGGCGACGGACCAGCTCGCGAATGCGCTGATTGTGCTCGCGCTGCAGGCGATTCACGCGCCGGCGATTGCGCTGCTCCAGCTGGTACTGGCGCCACTGCTGCTCCGAGGGTCGGCGCACATAGGCGGGTAGGCCATCGGCGACGGCCACAGCAGCACCGCCTGTTGGCTTATCCACGGCACCGGCTGCGGCGGCCAGCATATAGAAGTCGCCGTCCTCATCATCGTCATCGCCCTCGTCATCGTCGTCGTTGACGACGCTGCTGTCCTCATCCTCGTCATCGTCGAGGTCGTCGTTGTAGGCACGTGCATTGCTCTCCTCCTCATCGTCGGCCGCCTCGGCGGGGCCGTCGCCGAAGGCACGGTATCGCGCCGTTGGCGTTGGCGTCGTCGGCGATGTCGTTGTGGGCGAGGTTGTTGTTGGCGTCGGTGTTTGGATTAGGTCCGAGGTGGTGGGCGATGTTGGTGACGGCAATGTGATGGTGGTGTAGGCCTCTGTGGTGGTGGTTGAGCTGCCCTTCAAGGAGCTCAGCTTGTTCAACATGGACGAGGTGAAGCGGCCCTCGGGCACAGCCTGATCGCCGCGGCTGCCCGAGCGCAGACCCAAGCGGTAGTTGCCACCGTTACGTTGACCTGCACAGAGAAATACGAAATACGGAATACGAAAAGAAAGGGCGAGAGCTTAGCGAGTGCGTCCAGCTCTACATGAGCCATGCTTGGCACTTACCGAACACCTCTGGCGGCGATAGCAGAGCGCATAGCGCCAGCGCCACTAGCAGCTGTGGCAGGTAGTGCATGGTTGGAGCTAGTCAAGAGGAGGTGGCTGTTATCGAGTGCTCCTTGCAGGATGGCTGAGAACAGGCTGGGGACTGAGAGTCTTGGCGACTTGGAGACTGGGAGACTGGGCGCTTGTTGGCTCTGAGCTGACACTCGCCACTGACTGACTCCAACCTGGGTGCTCGGCGATTATATAGCCATCCGCTAAAGATTCTGGATGTGAGTGTTTGATGAATTGCTGTATTAGCCCAGGTCCCCCCAGCCCCGGGGTCCTACCCGCGTGCCGTCGAACCGCCACGGTATTGGCCTGCTACACGGTGCGATTAATCTCATCAGCGCCTCGGGCAGGTCAAAGTGAAGAGGCCAATGGTAGCCCTGTTGCCGTTTTTGGCATTAACTATCATGCTAATGCTAATTTACAGCACAGCAACGCTCAGAACGTAAGCCAACTGCGAACTGTGAACTCCCTCTGTGGCAGCGACTAGCGTCTAATATGATTGATTATCGGTTTTTTGTATTTGAACTCTTAACTGTGCCAAGCGACGACCCGACAAACAGTGCACGGAATGAAATGCTTTGCGGCCCCGGCTGAGAGCCCAAATAGTTTTCCAATTTATTCTTTTTATTTTATTTCACTTCATTTCATTTCATTTAATTTTTGTTGTTGTTTCTGCTTGCGTGTATTGTTCCAGCTCTTCAACGGGGATTCGATGCAGTTTCCGCACGTTTGCCAATTTCGCTTTGCAATTATCAATTTGTTCTCATAATCAGGTGCTTTTGCTAACCAGCCGACTTCGCAGTTGGTCGACAGATTTTGAATGGGTTGTATAATGAATATAAATTGGCATTGATATGGGATTGATTAGAAGAGCAGAATGAGGCATGGCATGCGAACAGACAAGGCGTGAAACTCAATCAATGATGAAAGCCAAACACGCTGACACGCTTCCTATTCTAATTTCAGCTATAATTGTTGTCAAGAGCTAAAAAGTCCTGTGCGAAGAGGCAGCTCGGCCAAGAACTACATATTTATAGATGTCCCAAAACTAGTTCCCAGTTCAGACAACAAACTTTTGCTAAGACAAGGCGAAAGCCCTCTGCTTAGCCTGCTTGTTGTTCTGTTGCCCAACTTGTCTAACTTCTCTATTGGGCTCTGCACATAGGCATATATTTTCCCTTAATGGGCTGCAATAAGCGAATTTGATTACAAACACTGTAAATAGCAACTGTTTACCCCCTGCTGTATCTAAAGACAGTTTTGCTTATACTTTCTATAATGAGCACAAATTATATGTGTGAGTAATTTGCTTATGGTGCAAACTAAAGGAGAGGTCTGGAGGAGTCCACTCTGGGCAAGGCAAGGCAAGGATTAGAGAGTGTAATCCTCTAGCTATACTCCTCAATAGCTTGATTGCCAAGTAATTTTGATAGTTTTTCAGACCGTTTAGCTGTAGCGCTTTCAGTCCAAGTTCCGTTAGTACTGCCTATAGGCAAGGTCTAGAGGGGTCAACTTAATGGAAGGCAAGGTGTGGAGGGTCCTTTCAGACTGCTCCTCGATAGTTTGACTACCAAGTAATTTAGATGGTTTTTCAGGCTGCTTAGATGTAGCCCTTTCGGTCGAAGTTCCTTCAGTTCTGCCTAAAGATAAGGTCTAGGAGTGACTACACCATGGAAGGCAGGGCTTAGAGAGTGCAATCCTTTGAGTACACTTCCTGATATTGATGATGATTATGGTGAGCTTGATTACCAAGTAATTTTGATAGTTTTCCTGTTTACTTCGTTTAGCTTGACAGGTTTACTCTATGAAAAGTAAGGTTTAGAGTTTACTCCCCGATAGGTTGATTACCAAGTAATTTTAATAGTTTTTAATAATTTTCAGCCGGCCTCTGTTGTTAAGAGGGTGTAATTCGTTCCATCTAATGGCAAAGTATAGAGGGATCTTCTGTACAAAAGTCAAGAACAATATGGGGTAATTCAAAGACTGATAGACCTTCTGTTCGATAGGTTAAGTTTATATTCTAGTTCAAAATTTCTTAGAGTAGTGCTCTATGGCCTCTCAGCTGTTTGCACAGAATATGTTTAAATAGGTGAGGTCAACTGAAGCAAAGCTTAGATAGTTGTATGAAGTGAAATCGATCTRCTTAGAATACCCCTACCTACCTAGAATACCCCTAGACCCATCATCAGCAATAAGCTCGATAATTTGACCGGAGACTGCATAAGCTTCGATCGCAGTGTAGTCATAGAGCTAAAAGCATTCGAATTGATGTGGAAACACAGTTAGTGACAAACGGTTTAAAGCTACAGTTAGCACATTTTGTATATACATGATCTCTAGGCATACCAAAATGAAAGGTTCGCATTGCCTAAAGAGCGTGGCGCCCAGCTATCTGCTTAACCCACAAAAGGAAATTACTATGCCAGAGCTAAGTGAATTACATTCTAGATAATATTACCATAGACATGAGCTAAAAATAAATAATGTATGATAACTGTAAAAACAGTCTTCAATATGATTCAATAGAGGCTTAGCTCGCTCAGCATTCGCGATCATTGCGCATACGTAACGTGGCCGCCAGCTGCTCTAAGATTTGGGTCAAATCAACCTGAAGCGCTGCTGCGAAACTAAGAAGCAACAACAAATAAATGATAATAAATAAGACTTAAAGAAAACGATAGAAAAGGCCGCAGGCAATCAAAGCAGACTTGAAGGCATTTATGAAAATGAGCCAAGCAACAAGAATCAAAGAAGAACTCGGGCTAATGAATAGACCTAAATAAAAGTGGAGGCAACAAAGCGTTGAAAGACTTCTGACCTAAGAATATATTACGATATTTCAACTCATTGGGGACATATGAACTGGAATAGGGAAGAAAAGAAAGGAACCTAGGCAGAAGTTTCGGTGGGGATATATGTATGTTTGAGCTGAGCTAAGGAAAGAAAAGACAGGAAAGGAGTTAAGAAACTAAATTAAGTTTTAATTTTTTTTCAGGAAGGGAAGTGCAGTTTTCATTTAGTTTCACATATTTATGAGCTAAGGGAGGAAATTCAGGAATAAACAAAACTCAGTTCTCATTTGTTTTCATATCACATGTTTATTGTTTTCGCATTGTTTTCATATGGGTCGCAAGTGCTGAGGGTCCTGGGGTTTGGCTCTTAACTATAATACTAGGGAGTTGCTGTGGGCTAGCCGTTTGGGTTCGGGTTCGGGGTTAGCCCTGGAGGGCGACACGACGACGCTGGTTGCCCCGTCGCCGATTGCCGCCGGGCCGGATGACGCGGACGTTGCGACGGTTGCCGCGACGGCGACGGCCACCGGCGCGACGGCGGACCGGACGGCCGCCGCGACGACGACGCCGGACATTGCGGCGTCCGGCGATCTTGCGGCGGCGCACGATGACGCGATTGGCGCGCTCCTCGCCGACGCTCGAGTCGCTGGCGCTCGAGCGCTCCATCAGGGCGACAACGGCGCCATCGGGAATGGAGTCGAGGGCGGCGCGTGGCACGAGGAGGGCCGCCTTGCCGGTCTTCTCGTCGACCACGCTCTGGCCCTCGATCTCGATGATGCCGTCGGGCACCATGATGGCGCCGGCCTGGTCCCTGGCCACCATCATCTGCGTGGGCTTGGCGTTCTTCAGCAGCTGCTGGCCGCTGACGCCGGCCGCCTTGCGGGCTGCACTGGGCTTGGCCAGCAGCACGGGCAGCTGTGCGTCCTCGTCGTCCTCATCGTCCTGCTCGTCGTCCTCATCGTTCAACAGCACCAACTGGCCGTTGCGTGCGAAGCCGCGCTGCACCGGCAGCTCATCAACATCGTCGTCATCATCATCGATCATCTGATCATCGTCATCGTCATCGTCGTCGGCGAAGCTGTGCTGCAGGCGTCGCAGTGGCATGCTGTTGCCCTCATCGGCATCGTCGTCATCATCGTCGCTCTCCACGTCGTCGAGATCCTCAACGACCTCAAAGCCCTGCACCACGGCGCCGGCATTGGCGCGTCCCCGCGGCACGCTGAAGAAGAGATATGGATGCTGCAGCTTCTGCTGCTGCTGCTGGCGCAATTGCTGGCGCTGCTGTAGGCGGGCCTCTGCAATCGGATGAGGAGGTTCAATTGTTAGATTGTTGCGGGAGGGGAGGTGGGGCGCATCGTACTTACCCGGCAGGGCCATGGCCAGGGCCAGCAGGCAGCTGAGCACGAACAGGGCGCTTAGCTTCGACATGGTTGGGCTCGGGTCTCCTGCTAACTGTGTAATCTGTGCGCGGCGCTGCTGCGTGTATTGTCCTACCTAATTGTAAGCAAAGTTCCAGAGAACTGTACAGAATCTCTGGACGTCGCCAGGTTTTTATGCAAAAAGTTACCGCAAACTCTGTCGGCTCGGGCAGCGCGCCAAAAAAAAACAGACAAACAACCAAAAAAAAAAAAACCAACAAAACAAATGAAACGAAGCCAAGAACCATCTAAAGAATCATTCTAGGCATTCGCTCACATCGAAGAAAGAAAAAAAAAAGAAAGAAAAAATCCATAAAAAATATCGAGTTGAAGAGAATCACAGATAGCTCCAGACATTGACATAATTACGCCCATGGAATGGCACCAGCTGAACCCACAGCGGCATCCATATCGAAATCAAGTGCCGAAATTGGTAAAAAAAAAAGATGGCCAAATGCTGATCAAAGTTCACTGACCGCAGCAGGAACAAAAGCCGCCTCGCCTGAAGAGCAGAAAGCCAAACTCAATTGACCGCAACGGCAGACGAGCACACGAAGAAGTAAGAGAAGAAGAAGAAGTMGAAGAACAACAAGAAAAGAAAGAGCAAAAAGCCGACGAACTGCCGAAGTTGAACCTCGTTACGCTAATGCGAATACAATCAGAGATACGTGAACCCAGGCCCCAGCCAAGTCAGGCCAAGCCGAGCGAGGCGCTGCCCGGTGTGCTCACTGTACAGTGGAGTCAGTGGTCGCTGGTCGGTGACCGTTGGCCGGTGGCCGGTGGCCAGTGGCGAGGCGGCCAGCGACGCATGCCAACTGCTCGGAGCTCGGCCCGGCCGCTCCATCATATACTCAAGTGCGACCTAGGCTAGGCCCATTTCGATCTGGGTTTGCCCAGAGCCAGGTTAGCTGGCGACGCGGGAGCGGGTATGCGCGGCCCGTTGATACTCTGCGTTAACTACAGCTGTGCCTATGACACCCATTACGCACACCCGTTTTGTACTGCCTGAAACATGCTTTTTAGCCAACGACTAGTAGATACCCTGTAATCGAAAAGAAATTGAGAAAGCAGTGGGATAAGTTTTATAAGTTTTAAAATATAATGGAGTGCACATATCTTTAGCCTGCAATACACATATTTATCGTGTAAGCAACGACTAGTAGGTACCCTGTAATCAGAAATCAATAGGGCAATGGGGAAATGTATTCCTTATAAGTTTGCTGTTAGATCAGGCACACTTTATGGGGCAAGCATGCCTCTGGCCTGAAACCTACTCTTTTCCTACGAGCAACGACTAGTAGTTACCCTGTAGTCAGAGTGAAATCGAGAATGCAGCTGGTGCAGCCTAGTACTTCTTAAAATCTAAAGGAATGCACATGTCTTCCGTCTGAAATACACATATTTATCGTGTAAGCAACGACTAGTAGATACCCTGTAATGAACAATCGAAGAGAATATAGATGCATATATTCCTTCTAGCCACACTTGTGAAACATGCATGCCACTGGCCTGAAAAGTATTCCTTCCTCATGAATAACGACTAGTAGATATCCTATAATCAGAGAGAAATTAGCTGGCAGCTGAATCATTAGTGTACGGTGCACAATCTGACGGCATATAGAATGCGCTTGAATAAAATAATACTTTTGTCTTATCTAAAATGACTAGTGGATACCCTGTAATTAACAATCAAACCACATACAGCTCAATCTATGACTGGAGTCTTTCAATAAATGATTGTAACTTGACATAAGTCGTATACTGTACCAGTCTCTTGCTTGAAACATACTTTTTGTCGTATTAGGAACGACTGGTAGATACCCTGTATTTACCAATCATGCATTGGAGTTAGTCTGCCATTATTTTATTCACAGTCTAATGGAATATGCATGTTCTTTAGCTGAAGTATACCTTAGTTGTATCAGCAACGACTAGTAGATACCCTGTAGATGACAACGAAGTCTCCGAATACAACTGCATTTATAAATGTTGCCTAGATATGTTTGTCTCTTGTGCTATACAAAATTTTGTCGTATTGGCAACGACTAGTAGATACCCTGTAGTTGGAAATAACATAAAAATGACAGTATCGCACAACCTAGTCGAATAAACATGTCTCTGCCCTGAAACTAACTTTTAATGTAAGTTCTAGATACCCTGTAGATACCCCTAGATACCAAGCGAAGAGAATATAGCTTAGACACGCAGTTTAATCTCATGCCGCCAGCTAGAAATGAAAGGAAGAGCAAAACTAATAGAGTAATTGAATAAATTTATTCTTTTAAAGATCTTGAGGTGTCTGCACAGATCGAGTCAATCCTCGCTTCGACTCAGCTAAATTTTGATTTCCCTGCGAAAATACTGAAGGGCGATATGATGAGTAGTGTAACTACGACCGCCACCAGCTGGGTAGAGGCTGCCAGAAAGGTTGCGAGCAGTACCCAGCTCTTGAAGCACACGATGGCTCGATGGTCCCAGTTGCAGTGCATGAAGCCCGAGTTGAAGCTGAATATGAGTGACGTCATCAGCAGAACGAACGAGAGCAGCCCGCAGATGCGATGGGCGAACAGCGCATTTATCTCGGACATCCGCGCCAAGGGCTGGCATGTGGGATACAGGCCCGTGATGAGGGTGGCCAGCAGCAGGAAGCAGGTGGCCAGGCCGAAGATGCTGTGATTGGTGGTGAAATGCTTCTGTGTGTTGGCCCGCATGTGCAAGATCTGGGCGCCGACGCCCATGAAGCCAATCAGCACGCCCACCAGGCCAAAGGCCGCGTGCAGCGCCGGAGAGCCCCAGAGGAACGCCTGGGTGACAAACAGGACCATGCCCACCAGGCAGTAGAAGGCGTGCGCCGCCGTTCGTGACAGCCGCAGCTTCGCGCACTTGTATCCGATGATCACCGTGACGAGGATCACTATGACGTTGCTAATGGTCTCGCAGACATCCCGCAGGAAGCTCGGCGGCAAGCCGGGCCAAGTGAAGCCAATCACCACCTCGCCCGTTGCATTCACCACAGTCTCGTTCAACTCGTCCGCCATGATGTGAGTGGACGAGGCCATTGAGGGTGAATAGCGATGAGGCATTTCCAATGAAGAAACCAACTCAACTCTATACACATAAGCATGAACACATGTGTGTGTGCGTGCATATACGTGCATGGGCACACACATACAGAGACACATATATGCAGATGCGTATGTCTATATGCAATTGAGTGAACTCAAACTGTCTATATATGTATATATATTTAATTATCAATGTCTATAAATTTATATACATATACATATGTTTATGTATGTGTATTTGTATGAAACGACAAATGTGTTAAGTATGCAATGTGAGTGTAAGCATGTGATTATTTATTCATGTRATTTATTATTCAAAAGATTTTTGCTAGATTTTGCTATGAATACTCGTTTAAGGAGTTGGACAGAGCATATTAGCTTTATGCGCAGCTCTCTGCCTGTTCTAAAGCTACGTCTAATGAGAGAAGGAATCAGGAATCATTCATTCTCATTATAAAGATCTATTGAGCGGTGAGTCTGTAGATTTAAAAATAAAAGCCAAGCCAGGAAGCTTACAATGCTCTCATTGGGGATACTCATTAGGGGTATACTTGGGAGTACTCTGTAGGGGCACTAATTAGGGATACTCAGTAGGGCCACTCATTAAGTGTACTTTGTAGCAGCAAGACCTCAAGAGGTGCCACAAATTGTAGGCAACATCCAAGAACTGGTCACAAGTTGCCTCTGGAGACTTAATTCCCTCATCCATACAGTTTGGCTTAAGGTCTAGGCATCCGAATCTTAAAGATCTACTAGCACTAGCATCATCAAGTCCTACTGCACCGAGTCCTACAAATTTATTGGGTCTATTGAATATCACCTTGATCAATACCTGTTATTGTCAAACTCTTCTTATTTTGTATGATAAAGCATCAAACTAAACCTCACCAAGATCACTTGGAAATATTTTCATATTGGAAGGGAGAGACTTTATAGTTGGTCGTTTGTTTTGACCAGCTCCATTCTTCCTGATCGCCTTAAAGACCTGGCGAGCTGTAAACAACTCGCAAGCGTATAGCTGTGTCTCATCAGTTACTTGTGCGTCTGGATACCTTACCCTGGATACCCTACCTTCCATGCTCTACATTAATACGGAATATTTT